TGGCTCCGCATCCCTGCAGCTCCTAGGCGGCGGAGGGCAGGGGCTCCTCCACTGCTCCCACCACAAGTGCCGGCTGCCGCAGTTCCTATTGGCCGGGAACCGCAGCCAATGGGCGCTGCGGGGGTGGGGCCTACAGGCAGCGCGGAGACCCCCTCTGCTGCCTAGAAGCTGCAGGGAGGCCGCGCCCCCCCTGCACTCACCAAACTCTTGCTCCTTGCCCTGAGCCCTCTCCCACACACCCAAACTGCTGATGATGGCCATGGGGCTGCTGCAGAGGTCACGGAAAGTCACAGAATCTGTGACTTCCCTGACAGACTCGTAGCCTTAGTTATGGCATTTTCAGTTTTGAAGTGCCATGTTTTTGAGATGTAAAACATACATGCAGGCCACTTAAAGCTTTTAAAGATTATATGGTACTTCCCTCAAGAGTAGTAAAACTTCCAGGTATATAGCACCTCTCATCTGAGAATCTCAAAATATTTTAGCAACATTAAGCTTTTCAATAGCTTTGTGAGATGGATAACTGCTGTATTTAATTTTACAGATGGGTAAGGTGAGATTAAGTGACTTGGTCAAGGCAACACAGCAGGTCCATGGCCAACTGGGATCACAACCCAAGAGTCCTGAATGCCAATGTTGTCTGTCCTTGCTCATATATGTCACACTTTCCTTTCTCATAAAGTCCTGCCACTTCAGCTCTGCAGAAATCCAGTCCAATTTTCAGTTAGCGTACTTACTGTTTATCTAAATTCCTCTTTAAACTTTAGTTCAGCAGTTCCTGTTCTAAACTGAATGTTATTTTCAGCCAGGCAGTTGGTGCATTCCATTCCAGAGGTGGCTGCATTTCAGGCAAAGGAATTCCTTAGTATACATGGTTTATAATGATCTTAGAAATCCTTCACGATATATATATAATTGTAACATTGTTATAATGGTTTTTGTATTCCAGTAAAAGCTAGTAACCCCATCATGCTAAAAGATACTTGCACTGTATTTAAATTGATAAACTATACACTAAACAGTACAAGATATTTGCATAGATGTAAACATAGAAAGCAGAAGCTTACTTAAATTACTAATCAGATGTCTATAGGAATGCATAACTAACTAGACATATTTTTTCTTCTAAAAAGCAGCAAAGTGGACACAGATCCTTTCATATATGTACTGTGTAAATGCTGCGTTCTAGAGAGCTACTGAAAATTTGTTTAATTTTCCTCTTCCTAGATCCTCTTTATCTAAAATGGATAGGGCTTTTTTTTATATACGCTCTTGAAAAAATGTACAAAAAACCTGTCTAAAGGACAACTCCTAAGTAGTTTCTTGTTCTTTTTCAATGCCCTCTGTGCATTTACATTTGTAGTGGCACACCTGATATCAAGCTGCAAAAGTACCTTGAAAAGTTGTGGCTGTGGGTTGAGGGGAGGTGGTGCCATAAGCATTTCTTGTGTAAAGGTGATGGCATCACTCTCTTCTGAATAAGGGAGTGCATCCCTAACAGCCTAAGTTACTTTGCCACCTCTGGGAGCAAGCGGCGTTTGCCTTCATGTCCTGTGGACTTGAGCTTCCCTCAACCTAGCTTAAATCCTTATTGTAAATAGCTAGTTTAGAGTAGTGTAGGTTATCTTAGTATAAATATCCCTTTCCTTTCCTTGCGAGCCTTTGCCCTTTACCAGGACTGTCAGGCCCTGAGGTTTGTAAAGGCTTCAAGAGGTGTGCCTCTTACCTGGCTATCATACTGGAGATCTGGTGCCTTTTCTATTTCCGGGCTTGTCTACACTACCTGCTGGTTTGGCGGGCAGCGATCAATCCGGGGGGGGGGGGGGGGCGCTTTATCACGTCTAGTATAGATAAATCGACCGCTAAGCGCTCTCCCGTTGACTCTGGTACTCCATCAGAATGAGGAGCACAAGTGGAGTCGACGGGAGAGCATCAGCTGTTGACTTACTGTAGTGAAGACACCGCGGTAAGTAGATGTAAGTACATCGACTTCAGCTATGCTATTCACGTAGCTGAAGTTGCGTATCTTAGATCGACTCCGCGTGGTAGTGTAGACAAGCCCTTAGTGAGACCCACTTAATAACCCCATATACAGTTTGCCACACTTTCATGCTCTGCACCAAAAGAGAGAGACATTTGAGGCTCCGGGCTCACCTGGCTTCTTGATGCTACTACCTGATATCTTATTGGGCTTATTGATGGGACATCCGTCACCGTGTCCCCTCCCTTCAGATCTCATTTCTCCTGCAGCTCCAGGTGCATGATTACTTCAGATAACTGGGTGCTAGACACCATCCAGGACAGATACTCAGTTCAGTTTTGCACCAGATTACCTCACTATCCTCCCACTCTTTCCCTCTTCAGGGACCCATTTCAAGAGAGTGTCGTAATGGAGGAAGTGGATTCACTCCTCAGGAAATGAGCCATGGGGGGATTCAATGGGAATACAGAAGGAAAAGAGATTCTCTCCCCCCCCCCCCACAAATTCCTTGAATCCCAATTAGAGGAACAGTCTGAGGGCCAACTGGACCTTAGAAACCCCAACAAGTACATAAGAATATTAAAGTTCAGGATGACCACTATCGAGGATGTTATCCATTCCTTAACCAAGGGAAATTGGTATGCAGTTCTCAGCTTAAAGGACACCTGTTTTCACTTAGCAAACAGTCACCTCAAGTATCTGGTTCTGTGTCCTAAAACTTCTTTTAACAAAACCGATAGGTGTGGGAGGCCTTCCCTAGGAGTCTCTTGCTCAAGCATTTATTTATCAAAATAATATATTTCAAACATTTATTTATCAAAATTGCCTTCTGGATAGCAATTCACTCTATTAGGAGGGTGAGTGAGCTTAGTGCTTTGGTGGCCACTCCACCTTATAATGTGGTCCTCAAAGACAAAGTTACCATGAGACCCCATCCTGGATTTATGGCCTAAGGTGCTCTCATATTCCCACTGGTCTCTATGTATTTCCCTCCTTTTATTTTCCCCCAGATCTTATTCGCAGCCAGAGGAAACTCCTGTCCATGACATACAGGAGGGACAATCAAAATCAGCCTGGCAGAACGTGCATGAGAACTGTCTCTGGACAGATGAGCAATTGATCAAAATCCCATTCTCTGATCTCTTGGGGCCAAATCCTGTTCCCATTGAAATAAAAAAAAGTTTTGCTATTGAGTTCAATGGGAACAGGCTTTGACATTTGGAGAGGAAAGAACAAAACCACTCAAGCAGGGGCTATGTTGCTTATACCACAGATATCAAAGGCTGCTGACTCGTGTGAGAAAGTCAGCAGACATCTGATCTTTGTCCATTGCAAGGGAGAAATCAGCAGTCAATGAGGCTAGAACAGTCTTTGTACTGTATCCAACTCATAAGTCCATCTGCAAAGGATCAAGGAAATATGAAGGCTCCAGATTACCTTAAAGTCCTCAGTCCCTTGGTTAGAATGCTCCCATCAGTATATGTTCGTAGTCCAGAGGCTGGAGCAGGAATCCAAACCACTATTTAAACACCTTCCGTCCGACCCACCCCTCCCCTCTTGAGGACTCCTGACCAACTTAACAGCAGAATACATATGCTAACAAACTTAAACAAAGGCTTTGTTTAAGTTTGTTAGCATATGCATTGTGCTGTTAAACCCATATAAAGAATGAATGCCCTCCCTTGCTGCATTCTGCTCTTTTAAGGAGCAGAATGCAGCTCCACCCCCCTCCAGAGGGGGGGCTGGCCTCACCAAGTGTTACCGGTACCCCCTACCCGCTAAAAATCTCTTGCCGGTACTGCATATTGGAGTGTACCACTCTACTTGCACTCCTGAGTATTCCTCTCCCACCATCCACCTGATGGCTTGCTAATCTCCCACAAGTAGGTATGCACAGAGGCCATCCAAGAAGAAAAAGGTTACTTATCAGTAACTACTGTTCTTTGGGAACTGCCTCTGTGTAGTCACACTATCCACACACCTACCCCCTACTTAGGATTTATATGTAACATCAGGTTTCTGTCCTTAGAGAGAAGGAACTGAGGTGTTTGGGAGGGTGCACCCCTTTTTATAGAGTAGGGTGAGGACTTCACTTATGCATCAGAATGCTCATGTACACACACATCCTTCCTTCCTGTACTGCTTTTCAATGCTGTTTCACAACTTGACTCTGAATTCCACAAGTCTGAATGCACAGTGGTGCCTCTCTAAGAACAAGTTATTGGTAACCTGTCTTTCTGAGACATTTATTTTCAGTATGGAGGACAAGCATTCCATGCATCATTTTAAAACATATTATAGCTAGATCACATTTTGAGTCTAAATTACTTGTTGTTTCAATATTAGGAAAACAAATCTAAATATTTTGCATACTGAAATGTCTAGTAGCTAAACTATTAACTCTTTATCTTTACATCTGTGAAGTGTCTCATTCTGAACTCTGATCATGTGTGTGTGGTTTTGTTTTGTTTGGCTAGGTTACCATACGCGTAGTCCAAAGTCATAAGCAGTCTCCTTCATAACTGTCCATCAGGATGGCTGTTTTCTGCTTAGTAGTATAAGTTTTGTTGATCATTGTGGAAATAAACTATGCAGTAGTTGACATATGGATCAACAGCCTGGGCTTTAAAAATAAATCCAATATTAAATTAGGCATAAATTTTGGTAGTACTTAAAAGTCACAGCAAAAAAAAAACATTAAAAAAACACCCTAATAATATTGGTAATTACTTTGTTCTGTGCTTTTATAGGGAAACTCTGAAAACACATTTCATGAGAGCAATGTAATCATGGGGCAAATGTTAAAAGAACAACAACAAAAAGGAAATTTTGAGCTTCATTTCCAAGTGGTCTCTCATAGCTCCTATGGTATTACATTTTGTGTGTGTGCACTCTGTACTGAATACATAACAATTCTATTTCCAGTATGGCTAATTGAAAATTTGCTTTATTGAATTTTACTTGTTCTTGATACACACAATTTGCTTGTGAAATCTTATTATTATTTTTATTTTTCTAGTTGACAAATCACGACCGCCTTCATCAAGCCCTTCCAGTATAATTCGCCGCACTTCCTCACTGGATACACTTGCTGCTCCCTACCTCGCTGGACAATGGCCTCGTGATAATCATGGACAAGCTGCTCCCTGTATGAGGGACAAAGCCACGCAGGTAAGACAGTTTTGTTAGGTGGTGTATTTCAGTGTAAGAGACTGCTTTTTTTTTTTTCATGTATACATTCATCTTCCAAGCTCACTTCTTTGGAATTTTCCTTCCCTTCCCAAATTCCTGGAGAGAGTTTGTTTTTCTATTTATTCCCAAATTCTTCTTTGCACCCTTGCACGCTTGTGCCCCCCCCCCCCCCGCGTTCTATCCGAATTCGCGTTATATTGGGATAGAGATGTATGTTTGCATATGCCTTCCCCCAAGAAATTTTCTGGGAAACCCACCTAACTTTGTCACACAAATTCATTCTTATCTGGCACATAGTTTCATGTAGTCTTTTGAAGCTCATGACACTTCCCAGGATTTATATTGGTCATGTCTCCTCCTATAGAAATTACATATAATTCCACAATTCATGAACTTTGCATCTTAATACAATGGACTCCAAACCTACTAAAACTTAAATCAGTAAGGTTTATCAAGTATGTTGCAGGAAATGGCTGCATCTGTCACAATAGCCTCTTTCTGTATTCAGGACAGGATTTGAATAGTATACAGTAAATAATGCCTAGGCCACATATTGAACAATGAAGATGAAACAAGCTGTTGAATAGTTGGTCATTCAGTAAGCACCGTCCATTCTGTGCACTGAATGAGGTAGATGACCTGTGGGAAAAATATGTGATCATGTAATTAAAGACAGTATCATAATGCATACACACCAGGAGGTTGAATTAAAGTTGCCCAGGCAACTTAATTCTAGTATTTCCTAACTTTTGAGTGCTTGACTATAGATTATGGTATAGTTGCTTGTGTGATATTGCAATTATTAATTGTGCAGTATTGCTTATATACCAGAATGTTTGCTTGTGGCATGTCTACACTACAAACTTAAGTCGATGTAATGTTAGGTTGACTTACAGCCACCACAGTAATTACTACAGTGGTTCATGTCCATGCTGGCCTCCTTCTGTTGGTGGTGCGCATCCACTGATTTAAGAGGGGCAGTGTAGGGAGCTGAGAGAGCCTGGGCTCTCAGCTCTGTGTGCAGCTCCCTGCTGGGAGCCTCCCCGTCCCCCCAGGCTCCCTGCTGGGAGCATGGCTTCCCCCATGGCTTCTGTGGGGAGCTATATGCCCAGAGCCCAGGCAGAAGCCCAGATCAGGGTGAGGAGTCCAGAGCCTGGACAGGACCCCAGCTTGGGGCAGGGAGCCCCCCACCTGCCCCAGGCTGACAGCCCCGGCTGTGAGCCAGGCTCTCTTGTCAATTTCCTGACTCTAGCACGGAGCCGTGAAATTGATAAAATGAGAGCCAATAGTTGATATAAGTAACCTGCAGTGTCTATATGGACACTGCATTTCCCGAACTACGCTGACATAAGCCTCTCATGGAGGTAGAGTTATGTCGCTGTAGTAGGGCACTTATATCGGTGGAAGCAAGGCTATAGTGTGGAAACTGACACAATTAGGTCGATGTAAGCTGCTTTACGTCAACCTAACTCAGTAGTGTAGACCAGGCCTTTAGTCACGTACTCAAGCAGTACTAGAAATGTCTGTTAACACCCAGGATCAAATTAATCCCTGGTCAGAGCACTAAAGTGATTGGGACTTGTACCCACTTAAACCTAATGGGTCAAATTCTTTCCTTGTTTTAAGTGAAACTAAATTAGAGTTAATACTTCTGTTATAGTTGGGGGTAATAAGTGTTCATATGAAATAGGGGAGAGACCTACTATGTAGATTATAGGAGTGGCTGAGGTGACATCTTCATACTGATTACTTATAGGAATATCAAAGTTGCCATAGAGGGCTTTCATTCAGTGACTTGTGCTTTCCAGCAGTGTCTGAATCCAGAAAATCATAATTGCATGCCCTCTCTTAGCTTACTTGCTTCTAATTTCTCTTTTTTCTTTTGTTTTTTGGCAAGAATAAGCATACCCTTTTAAAATTAATCCTTTAATCTTCTTGTTACAGACAGAGAGTGCCTGGGCTGAAGAATATTTAGAAAAGAAGAAAGGATCTCACAAGCGTTCAGCATCCTGGGGCAGCACAGACCAACTCAAGGAGGTCAGGAAAGCTATTGTTTGAAATAAAGTTGGGCCAGGCTTGTTGCCTGCATATTTTATTACCATGAGGTTTGAAGAAAGTGCAAACGTTTGTGTTTAGTCTTTCCATATAAAGATTGGAGGTGGAGAAAATAGAAATACATAATTCTATGGCTGATCTGTTTTGTAACTGATAGGATCACCGTGTAAGACACTAATATTTAATGAAGTGGGGTAGGGAAAGCAATGAGAAATCGAGGAAGTATCCGTTAGCTGAGAGAGGAATTCAAATGGTAGTATAATTCCTGTCAAACTTAATTCTTCTTTTCGTGATGATCCAATATTGTATTCCACTGAGGGTTATGCGCCCCGAGCCGGAGCTTTTGAAAGTATTACTGTTCGGCAGTCCGCATGTGCACACTGTGCCGCATCATGGCCTTGCCTGAGGTGATAAAGGGCACGGTGGGCTATCGACATCTCCAGTTTCTTCTCACCACCTCATGGTCCAAGCCAGAGCTTCTACTCTCCAATCGTCCTTGTGACACACTTTCTGACACTTTTCAAAACCTATCCTTAGTACTGTTTAGATTTCTTAGTGGTTCTGCATTTACTTTTTCTGTTTTCTGTTCAATTCTTCCTTTCATATCAGATTTAGGACTTGGGACACTGCTTCAGTGGTGTTTCCTGCCAACCGTTACCCCACCCCAGCACCCAGTCCTGGGTACTAGGTATGCTGAAGATGCCAGGGTTCAAAACCTGTGATTCCTGCTCCCACTCATTTTCCATCAGCAACATACACCAGCATGTACTGCTTGGGGGAAGCCCCACATTGCATCCAGGTACAGTATCTGCCTCACCTGCTTGTACTTGGGAGAACCAGACGCTCCGCCTCAGGAAACACCTTATGGAGGCTGCCATGGGATCAACACTGGCTCCTGGTTGGGGAGCACTCCCTTTACATTGGCCTGAACAGGTGAAGACCGCCCCATCTACTGCAGAACCCTGCACTGGGGCCTAGTCATGAACCAAGGAAGCATGCACATAAGCATGGCAGTAAGTCTTCCTCCAAATCTAATGAGGACTCGGCACCATCCACGATTTCTGGCCACAAAGTATCCATGCGTTGTAAGTCTCACAAGAATAAGAAATGGCAGGACTGATCACTAGATCCACTGGTTTCGATCACAGACCCAGCGACTCTGCTGGCATCTCATGAACCATTGGTCTCCAGATAGATGCAGTTCCTGATACCGACTCCTCCGGCGAAACGGATACCATTGACCTCTGGGAGAATTGGAGGTGCCCTGAATCCCCATGAGTTATTCGCACTCCACGACCACCGATCTGATCACCAAGTTGAAGGGACCCTTTGCCCGCTATGCTCCTGCTACCTCCTGTTCCAAGAGTCCTAATGGCACCACCATTTGGTGAGGTTTCTGAATCCTCTGTTTTGGATGATATGGATCTCTGACCCGGTCCACCACTCCTGTTCTGGAAGCACGACTACTGGAAGGTTCCGACAAGACTGGGGCACTTCCCCACCTTGCTTTGTCTGCAGAGTTTGTAGCTGGCACTGTGGTCCCAAGTTGCACAACATCAGGGTCAACTGGGTTGGCCATACTGGAGATCATGGCCACAATATTCACCCTCTGAACGGTCCCGCTCGGTCTGGGAGGACTCCCCCACTTCATCACCACAACCCTCGTCAGGTAAGCATTCCAACATAACCCTGGATGCTGCACCGATTAGCCCGACTCCAATGGTACTGACCGATCCTGAGAAGCATCCCTCATCTTCCCAGGATTCAGCTGCCTCTTCAATCCCCTCCTTCCCCACTGGGTGACTATCGCCAGTTCCAGGAATTGCTGCGAAGACTAGCTAATGCCCTACACATTACCATAGAGGAGGTACTAGACAGTCAATTGTAAATTGATGGGTCTACCCTTCGAACCGTTGGCAACTTATTCCCTGTTCTACATGTCGTACAGGGGGCGTTTCTGATAACGATAACCTCAGCAAGGAGGGTGTCTGAACTCAAGGCCCTAACATCAGAGCCCACTGACACCGTATTCTATAAGGACAAGGTTCAGCTCAGGTCACATCCAGCTTTCCTCCCAAAGGTTGTCTCCCAATTTCACATGAACCAGGACATCTTCCTCCCAGTGTTCTATCCTAAGCCGCGCTCAAGCGGCAGGGAGCAGAGGCTTCACTCATTGGATGTCCGCAGAGCACTAGCCTTCTACTTTGAAAGAACAAAACCATTTAAGAAGTCCATTCAACTGTTTGTGGCCATGGCAGACAGGATGAAGAGTCTTCTAGTCTCCTCCCAACAAATTTCGTTGTGGATCAAGTCCTGCATCCCTGAATGCTATAACCTGGCAGAGGTGCCTGCTCCTCCGCTCACCGCACACTCTACTAGGACTCCGGCTTCTTCAGCAGTGTTCCTGGCACAGGTTCCGACCCAGGAAATATGCAGAGCGGCCATGTGGTCCTCCATACATACGTTCGCCTCACATTATATGATTACCAAGCAGGCCAGAGACGATGTGGCCTTTGGTAGAGCAGTGCTCCAGTCAGTGGATATCTGAACTCCGACCCCGCCTCTGAATCTTAGGCTTGTGAGTCACCTGATTGGAATGGACATGAACAAGCACTCAAAGAAAAAAAGTTACTCAACTTCTCATAACTGTTGTTCTTCGAGATGTGTTGTTCACGTCCATTCCAATAACCACCCACCTTACCCCTCTGTCGGAGTAGCTGGCAAGAAGGAACTGAGGGGGTGGCGGGTCGGCAGGGCTCTATATTGAGCGCCATGAAGGCACGACTCCAGGGGGTGCCCAGGTTGACTCAGTGGATGTTGCTAGGGGAAAAATCTTCCAGCTGCCCTGCCGTCTTTCTGGTCACTCTCTTCTAGACACTGCAAGCGTGAAGTGTGCGGGTCACTTTTGGGCATGTGTTTACTGCAGGCCTCACAACTTTTAAACCTGGGGAACCGCGGCATGCTGTGGCCCCAAAGAAACGATGGGGAAGGAGGAGGGACCCCCAAAGAAACCTGATTGGAATGGACATGAACAATACATCTCAAAGAACAGCAGTTACAAGAAGGTGAGTAACCATTTTTTTTCTGGTCTCTCCAATTTTGGCTTCCTCTTCTCCTCTGCATGTTGAAGCAAACTCCACACTTCGAACATTGCAAGAGCTGCTGACCCAACACAATGGCAGACTCAGATATTCCAATCTGTGCACACTTTACCTAACGGCTTGGTTTTTGGATGGACACCATTACTAGCGCAGGAACGCTCTATGGCGGTGTGAGATGTCCTTTTAAGCAGCAGAACAGAGTCCACAAGACACTCGTATCAAGCCAAGTGAACACGCTTCACTTCCTGGATTACCAGACAGGGCCTTGTCTCTGAAGTGGTGGGCATCCCGCTACTCCTTTATATAAAGGAATATTTCCTTTATCTGAAAGACTCAGGACTGACCCTCAGTTCCATTAAGTTGCATGCAGCTGCCATTAGTGCCTTTCATCTGCTGGTGGACGGTCATTCAATCTTTACCCACCCATTAACTGTGCAGTTCTTGAAGGGCCTCCTGTGAAAATACCCTTCCATTCAACTTATCACCCCCCAATGGAATTTAAACTAATTCTCACGTTGCTAACTACCTGATTCGGACCTATGGCCTCATGTTCACTATCTCTCCATGAAAGTCGCCTTCCTCCATTGCCATTATATCGGCTAGGAGGGTTAGCGAACTCGAGGCCATAATGGCTAACCCTTGCTTCACTACTTTCCATAAAGACAAGGGCTCTTTACGACTCCACGCCAAGTTCCTATCCAAGTGGTTTCCCAATTCCACTTCAGATTTACTTACCTTCTTTCCCAGATCTCATGCCTCGAATGAGGAAAGAAGGCTTAACTTGTTAGATGTTCAAAGGGCATTGGCTTTTTATCCTGAGCCTGCCCCGGCTTGTTGGAGGGTAATGGATGCAGGGGGAATGGGACTCTGCGGGATGGGGGTCCAGATGAAGGTGGTTGGGGCTCAGCGGGTGGGGGGGGTCTGGGGCTTGAAATGGAGGTCTGGGTGTGTGGGACTCTGCTGAGAGGGGCTGAGTGCTTAGGCAGTTAGGCTTGGTGGGGTGGGTGGGTTCAACGTGTTGGGGCTTAGTGGGGTGGGGGTCCAGGTGTGGGGGGCTCATCTGGGAGGTCCAGATGCAGAGAGGGTGGGGCTCATCGGGGTGGGGGTTCTAGCATGGGTGCTCAGCAGGGGTGTGTGGAGGGGGTGAGGCTTGGCAGGGGGAATCTGGGTATGGGAGGGTCCAGATGTATGGGGGTTGGGCAGATTGTGAAGTAACCCCCCATACAGTAACCCCATCCCCCTGGCTGAGGAGCGATGGGTGCAGGAAGCAGGGGAGAGGGGGTGCAGAGCTTCCTGCAGCCAGGGGAGGTTTCTGAGGGTGGCTCAGCCACAGCCCCGCCTTCTCCTTGCAGGTGAAGAGGAAGTCGGTCCTTCCCCATCCTCAGCCCAGGCTAGTAGCTGAGCCCAATGCAAGATAGGTGCCACCAACTGAGGCATCCCTATCCGCACCAGCGCTGCCAGGGAGGAGCCTGTGACCGTTCTTGCAGCTTCCCTTTGCTTCCCTGTCAGAAGTCATTTTTCTGCAGGGAAGCAAAGAAATCTGTGGGGGACATGAATTCTGCATGTGCGCAGTGGCACAGAATTCCCCCAGGAGTAACATATGAAGTGCGGCCATGTGGAGTTCAGTACACACCTTTTCCATATACTATGCACTAGTGCATGATTCCACGATGGATGCTTCATTTGGAGCAGCAGTCCTCCGTTCCACAGTGTCCTCGCACCATCCTCCCATATAGGTACTGCTTGTTAATTGCCCTCAGTGGAATACAATAAGGGACCATCACTGGAAGAAGAAAACAAGGTTAGTTACCTGTAACTGAAGGCAGTCCGCCGTACCCTTTATTGCCTCGGGTGAGACTATAATGCGGCACTACTTTCAAAAGCTCCAGCTTTGGGCATATGGTGCATGCAAGTAACGCTCACTGGAATACAGATAGGAGCTATGCATCTCGAAGAACTTCGTTTACTGGTAAGTAACCTCCTTATCTTCAGGTACTGTCATACTGGTATGTGAGAACTGGGAATATGTGCAGGTCTTCATAGAAAAATGAAAACTAATATTTTAGTATTGTGGTGATTTATCTGTAGAGTAGCTGACTCAACATTATATCAAGTAGATTCTCATAATTAGCAGTGTTTCAGTTTTTACTTTTTTGATAATAGTCAATGTAGTAATTGAATTGAATTTGCGAAGGGAAATCTGAGACTCTTCTTTCCCCTGTCAGATTGCAAAATTGCGTCAGCAGTTGCAGAGAAGTAAACACAGCAGCAGGCATCATCGGGATAAAGAAAGACAGTCTCCATTCCATGGTAACCATGCAGCCATTAATCAGTGTCAGGTAAGGCTATGCCACTTCTCAGGGCATTGTGGGAGTTAACATAATGTTAACTCCTGTGTGTTCCAAGTAGTGATTTTTAAAGAAAAAATACTGGCATCTGTTTTGAAATACTTGATTACTGCTCAATGATGTATATCTGTGAAATATATAGAACCTTTTTGTCTTATGAGATGAAACTGATTTTCTTTAGCATGCTGAAGTGGGGTGTGTTTGTGTTTTTTCTCTAAATTTAAGAAAAAATGTAAAGGGAGTTTGGTGAAGAATATACTGATTTACAACGTAATTTGTAAGGACTCTGAGGCAGAAGGATGATATAGTTAAGTTCACTGAATTAGAAGTCAACCAGTATGGATAAATTTAATCTAATTCTATGTAATAATCTTACAGGTAAAGTGATGTGTCTAGGGTTATGACTTTGCATATAAAAAACTGCATAGAACCAGCCTGGTGGTATACGTGGTAGCGTCTTGAGAGTGAAGTTTAGTTTCTTCTTGACTCTTGGGCACTGGGCAGTCCTGGGCTGAGTGCTATGGAGGGATCCCAGTTGTCCATCAGATAGACATGAAGGGATTAGGCGTAGATGTTGACTTCCTTTGAAAGGAGTCCCATTCAGTTACCTTTAGGTGGAAAGATGGTAGCTTGTGAGTGACTCAGGGAAGAATAGTGAATCCCGAGACACAAACTGCAGAGGAAGGATGATGATAATATATTTACAAAGCATATAATTTTTCCTCTAGAACTGTAGAGGGTATGAAAATGTCCATTCAAAAGTTCTTTACTACTTCTGTGTCACTAAATTCATCCTTGTGTTTAGGATGAAGGGAGTAGCATAGATGTCTTCCCAATAGGTGCATGGTCTTGTCTCTTATCACACTGTGATGAATTCCTATCATGATTTCTCAAAAAAACTTCTTTAAATTTTAGTTTCAGACATGTACAACCAGCTGAAGAAATTGCTGGAGTTGCAGATCATGATCTCTGCACATCTTAAATTTTCAAATCAGTTCCGTTTTGTATCTAGCAATGTGAATTTGACAAAAAGGTTCTCCTTCATGGTCATGTTAATTGTTCCTAATAGAGAGTTTCCTCTGATGGGTTTTCCCCAGGGTGCCACCTGGAACCGGGGTACCACTGAGCCCCTCTGACCCCCCAGCCTGGGCTTCCCCTCACACTGTGCTGCTATGATAAGTTGCCAAGTCCTCCAAGCTTGCTCTTTCACCAGCCTACACACAGGTAGGGACACACTCAGTTGCAGAATTTACAGGCTGCTGTGATCAGCTCATCATGGGGAAGCTACAGCTAAGGAACTGCCCAGTATTATACCCCAAATCATACCGTCTTGTGCTGCACAGAGATCTGTACAGTGTAAGCTCATGAAATTTGCCCCCTCCCTCAATGTGGAGAGAGAATATACAACAGCTTTTTGCCTCAAGGTACAACTCCCACACACTGGTTTGTGATGAAACAAAGCAAATTTATTAACTACAAAAGATAGATTTTAAGTGATTATAAGGGGTAGCAAACAGATCAAAGCAGGTTACCTAGCAAATAAACACAAATGCAATCTGATCTTAATATACTAAAGAGATTGGATATAAGTAGCAAGTTCTCACCCTAAATGATGATTTAAGCTGGCTGCAGAGATATTTAGGGGACCAGCTGTCCTTGCTTGCAGCTTAAAAACTCCAGGTGTTCCTTTCACAGGCTAGAAATCCCTCTAGCCTGGGTCCAGCAGTTCCACCCCCAGTTCAGTCTTTGTTCCTCAGGTGTTTCCAAGAATCTCCTTTGGGCACTGTCAGTGAAGAACCACGATGATGTCACTCCCCTGCCTTAAATAGCTTTTGATATGGTGGGAACCCTTTGACTCCAAGCTTGGTTCCGACGCGTTTCAGTGGAAAAACACTGGTATTCCAAGATGGAATCCAGTACCAGGTGATATGGTCATGTGCCCCGGTAGTGTCATAGCAGCCATGACTCGGAGGCTGTTTGTAGCATCCTCAGGATGGCTCCCCAGTGGAAGATTAGCTTCTTCTAAGACCTGTTGTTCTCTTGAATGGGCCCTTCCCAGCCAGCCATCTAGACTGACAATCTTTTGCCTAGTGGGCATACCCCAGGTGTAAACACATTTCTAATAGATACATAGACAATATTCCTAACTTCTTGTAGTGAGGCAATTGTTACATTTATTTTAGTGATGCAAGAACAGAGTGGGATTGGCTTTTTAGGTTCAATGTTGATTTGGGCCACTACTTCAGCAAACCTTTGAATTTCTAGCTATTTTTAAATTTATTTTTCTTACATGAATTTTTACTCCTGATGCAGTGGGTAGCACTGAAGGTGCTAGATGATCCCTCTTCCATTATTTGTTATTTTGTCCTTTGGTTCTGCTGTTAATGTTGCAATGCATTTTCACTTTGGTAAAATTTACAGACCATTTTATGGTTTCTAGCTCAAATGTCTTCCCTCCCCCGTATTTTGTTCCTATGAACACTGTTTTCTCTCCACAGTCTGCTGCCCTACCTATCTGTAAATCAAGCTAAGATGATTTGACACCAGTTAAAGATCTGCCCTCCCATCTTTATCTTCCCCCAGCCTCAGACTTCACTACTTTATCTTCTCTCGCAGTCTCCCCACATTCATCCTTGGGATATTTGATGATCCCACTGACTTGTTTGGCTCTTATTTACTGACCTGCTTTCTTGATTTACTGCCTTGGATCAGTCTGTCCCGTTCCACCCTCCCCCCTCCCAATCACTTCCTTGACATTATCTTTGACCAACAAAGAATATATATGTAGAGAAGCATAACCTACACTTACTTGGAGGTATAGGATATTGGGGCCAAAGATTTTGGACATGTTTGGGAAAAACAGAAGTAATTTCCTACACTGTCTTTCAGTTATTTTTCTTATGGAAAAGTCTAATTTTTTTCAAACAAGAAGGGCAGGGGTGGAAGGTGGAGAAGCAAAAGTTGAAAAAGTAATGACAACCTGAACTATGGAGCTGCTAGTGTTTTTGCTATAACATGGATGAAGATTTCCAAACTTGTGGGGTCTCCTGGTGTCTTTTATGATGTGCAATTCATCTAAACTCACCATACTAGCTGATGCAGAACAGGTGCTTCATTAAATAGATTACCTCTTTTCCAGGAGAAGTAAGGAAGACAGTACACAGTTCACGTTTCTCATTCCATAATAAAAGAACTCGAGCAGGTTAGGAAAAAAAATTCAGTTTAAAATTGACCAAAATAGGGTTGGGGGGGGTTAGGAATCGTGAGTTATTCTCTTGTATTTTGATCAGGTGTAACTGGAACACTGGGCCTAGGGGTTGTCCTTCAAGAGATCAGCACACAGCTAATCACAGCTCTATGAAGAGACTGTTTTTTGTTTTTTTCCCTTTAACAATTACCAATTTAAACCCCTTGAAATTGGAGGAAGACCTACTAGTTGTGTTGTGGAGAGACTTTTTTCCAATCCTGGAGAGTCCAATCTAATGTGCCTGAACACTTGAAAGTGCCTCACACTTCCAATCACTGGCAAGAGCTCAGTGGGAGAGAGCGCTCAGTTGCTAGGAAGAACATCCGGCAAATCCCAGAGCAGCACCATCAGTAAAAATTAGAATGAATACCAGGAGGAAGGTTGGTTGATTGTATGTACCACTCTCTGTTTCAGATTAACAATTACAAACAGAGGAAAGCTGAAAGTAATTGGAAAGTCTTAGAATAGAAATGCTGGAAAACGTCTTGAGTTTTTAAAAAAGCCCAGAAGATAAATTATGTAAAACAAACCAAGTGAGCATTTGTAATGTACCTAATCTTGAAATGCAAAAAGATTAAGAGATTGACAGTAATGAAATATTTCTCTCTCAGTTTAGGCCAGGGGTAGGCAACCTATGGCACGCGTGCCAAAGGTGGCACGCGAGCTGATTTTCAGTGGCACTCATACTACCCGGGTCCTGGCCACCAGTCCGGGGGGCTCTGCATTTTAATTTAATTTTAAATGAAGTTTCTTAAACATTTTAAAAACCTTATTTACTTTACATACAACAATAGTTTAGTTATATATTATAGACTTATAGAAAGAGACCTTCTAAAAACATTAAAATGTATGACTGGCACGTGAAACCTTAAATTAGAGTGAATAGATGAAGACTTGGCACACCACTTCTGAAAGGTTGCCGACCCCTGGTTTAGGCCATTCTCTAATCAGCCTATGACTAAAGCTGCACTTGAGCAAAGGCTTTTTCAGAGCATTCCACTGATCTGTCTAGCTTATGGTTGGGGTACCAGTACCGAACCTCTTCTTGCTGTTAGAGAAGATACCACTCAGGACAGTCCCTAAAGTTCCTGCTGATGCAAGAAAAGGTCCTTCTTGAACTCTGTACCATGCCTCATCTGCAGTTACTTTAAAAACTGCAGTGTGGATGTTACAATGTTTCTAACCCAGTATAGGAGAGCTGCAGAAACTTTTTGGAAAACTGCATGAATCTCCATTCTTCATGTGGAATCCCCTATGGGCCACTGGTTCCAGGAAAATGATCTAGATTAAGCTGCAAGAAAGCTCATGTAACTCTTGTGGAAAATTTCCAAAGCAACTAGTGACTCATTTATTTTTCCCCTACTGCAGACAGTGAGAGACCAAAACAAAAAGCATAAGCAAGTATTTCCACAAAGTACATATGTCATGAACATACAGCTAAGGGTAGCATAAAATCCCTCTTTTACCTGTAAAGGGTTAAGAAGCTCAAATAATCTGGTTGTCACCTGACCAAAAGAACCAATAAGGGGAGAAGATGCTTTCAAATCTGTGTGGGAAGGTTTTTGTTTTGTCTCTCTTTGTTGCTCTCTCCGGGACAGAGAGCGACCAGGGCAGGAAAAATACATCTCCTAAAGCCGTATCTGAAATAAGCATCTAAGATTGCAAATTGTAAGTAATAGCAAGGAAATGCGTTAGGTTATCTTTTGTTTTAGCTTGTGAATTTTCCCTATGCTAAGAAGGAGGT